AATAAATAATTTGTTTAAAAGGGTAAATTATTAAAATAATATAGGTTAGGTGCTGAGAAAAGAGACAAAATTAACAATTTTTTCAAAAGATATTTTTTTATATAAATCAATTTAGAATAGAATTAGAATTATTTTTTATATAAAAACAAAAGTAATTGTATTAATAAAATTTTGTGGTATAGCTCTTTAAAGTTTATATTTTCTTATAATTTATTATAAGATTTATAACATAAAAATTGATTTTCAAAGATCTTTTTTTTTGTCAATTTCATCTCTTTTTTTAGCGCCTAGCCTATATATCTTTATTGAATACTGCTATACATATATACTGTATATTACATTTTACTAATTTTTAAAATCCAAAATAGATACTGGATTTATATAGTTAAGAGGCTATATATATTAAGAAAGAAGGTTTAAATATCAGATATATACATATGCACTCAAAAATCTGTGCCAGGTTTTGTTAATCATTGTAGTACAGGTTCCTGATCTACAAATCAGATCTCAAGAATTAGATATAACATAACATGATCAAAACAAGCATTCATTTTGTCAAAAATCACTTATTTCTCAAAAACAAGTATAAAAACTACTTAAAGTACTATAACAAAAAAATTTCTTGAGTGATTTTACTATATAACCACCTAATCTCTAACTTTATTTTAAGTGCCAATCCTAATATTAATAAATTTTAAGAATTTTTACTATATCACAGTGATCAACAAAACCTGGCACAGATTTTTTGAGTGCTATACATATATATATATATATATGTATTTATAATAATTGATAACAAATAAGCAGTCTAACTATTTAAAAAATCATATTTTTATTTTTTTATTAGCTAATCTTTGTTATAGTTTAAAATGAAATTTGATCAAAATAAAACTGAAGACCTTTTATACCTACTCTTAGAGCTTATAAAACCTACATATACTCATTTATTAATAAATCTAACCCTAAACCCTACCCCTAATGCTAAAAAAAAAACACAAAAAATATTATACAAAAAATTTTAAATTTTCCTTAAAAAACAAAAAAATTTTATTTTGATCAGATTTTGTTTTAATCTGTAACAATCTTTATAACATATAAAATAATCTAAAAAAAAATCTAAAATAATTTGATAGATGATTATTACTAAATAAGGTGTAATCTGCAATAACCAAATATAATATATTTCTAAACTGAAGTAAGACATATAAGATATTAAGGATGTTTTAAACCTAAAAGTATAATACTTCTATTTAAAATATTTTTTACTAAGTAAATCACTCTTAAGCTTGTAATAAAAGTTATAAAGCTTATAAATATGCATCTAATAGTTAAATTAGCCTGGTAGTTCCTAAAAAATCTTTAAAAAACAATTTGCTAACATATAAAAAAAAATTAATTTTTTTTTTAAAAAAATTTTATATGTTAGCAAGAAGTTTTTTAAAGATTTCTCAAGAACCACCAGGCCAATTTTAATGTTCTTACTACCATTAGATGCATCTTGATGAGCTTTACAACTTTTGTTATAAGCCCAAGAGTGATTTACTTAATAAAAAAAAGTTTTAGATAGAAGCATTGCATTTTTGGACTTGTAATAAAATTTATATATAAAAAAATATATTTGTTTAGATGACTCACAATTTGCCTATTAAGTAAATTTATAAATAGTAGGGTTTAAATTAAGGTTAGAATTTAAATTAGCTCAAATTAGATAGGTTTTATATTAGTATAATTTTGTAATAATCTATATATGCCTATCTATACTAAAGAAAATCCTTCTATTACATACTAATTTAATTTAAGGTTTACCATACCGTACAAATTATATAATTTTGTATTATTAAGTCCCAAAAACAAGCAAGTAAAATAATCCAACAACTAAGTTAATAATAATCATCACAGGAATCAAGCTTTTAAATTTAATTTTTTTTTGTATCTAATAAAACAAGAGACATCCACCTTTTTATCATTTTTTACCAATGCATCATTTAATATCTTTTCAAACTTGAACCCAGATTTTTTTACTTTTAACATTTCCAACAAAAACCATTGCGTATAAATGGCTTAATCCTAAACCACTAAAGGCGATTTCGTCACAAACGAATTTCAAAGCAGAACTAGTAATGCCAAGATTTCTATAATCTGGAGAAATATAAAAGCCAATTTCATAGCTGTTCTCTGAGAGATAAAAATCAGAAGATACATTGTAGGAAGATTCATCAAGTAAAAGCAACCCAATGCACCCAATAAATTCCTTTTGACCATTACGAATTGCCCATGTTGTACAAGTGTGGGTCTTAGAATACAAACTAAGACATTTCGATACAAAAAATTCAGCATCGGAAAGAGTGTAAGGGTTGGGAAGTGACTTTGTCCATTTATGAATATCCAGAGATAATATATTTGTTGGACCAAGTATGGAATAAATGTTGGGAGCATCACATTCCTGTATTGCTGATAAGTAAAATCGATCTTCAGTAGAGGAAATAGGAAGATTAAAGGGGCCGGCAAACTTAATTGACTGTGCTTGAGGCAGGCACGACTAATTATTATCGTCATTTATTTACAGCTAATTGAACCAATAAAAAAAATAAAAATAGCATTTCTAGAAAAAGTTATTTGAAGACATGGACTATAGTTTCCGAAATTTCAGTATTCAGTGTTCCAAACATTAAAACTTCATTGTTTCACCAAATCCTTAATTGGTAGGAACCAGTCTACCAGCCTCGGGGGCCGTAAAAATGCACATCTCAGTCCAACAAATTTGTGTCGGAAAGAACATTCTTTTTTCAACTTTCGAGTCAATAAATCGTCACGCAACAGGTCTACCAATGAGCACACTGCAATACTCTTCTTCACCGTCTTCACCTACAGTTAATTCACCGCAATCGCAGTTATACTCTCAGTCGTTAATGTCCCTGCAGCCGCCATCTTCACAGCCGGTAAAGATGAGCAGTAATACATTCGTTCACAAGCTTTACAAGTATGTTATTTTCAAAACATTTTGCAGCGATTGGGGAGGTTAGATATTGTATGTGTCTTGAATGTGTGCTATTGCTGAAAAACTACCTTCTAAATCTATTTTGCTTTAAATGCCCTGTTTTCGATCCTGTAAACGCAATTTGATCACTAGCATGGTTGTTGACAAGCAATACCAACATCTTATCGCTTGGAATTACACTGGGTCATCTTTCATAGTGTGCAATATCATGGAGTTTTCACGTGATGTCTTGCCAAAGCATTTCAAGCATAACAATTTTTCAAGCTTCGTTCGTCAACTAAACATGTAAGCTTTGTTTTCTTCAAATTTTAACACTTGTCCTGCTCCATTCGCTTTTGCCTTTTATTATTAATGCAATGGACCTGAATGAATCCACATAAGAATATACAATGGGTTGACACCTTTATTATGTGACTTGGCGGCTTAGGTACGGCTTTCATAAAGTTAATAAATCACCTCGGGGACATCGTACATTGGCTGAAAATCAAATATGGGAATTTTCTCATCCAAAGTTTTTACGCGGACGTCCTGATTTGTTGGATGATATTAAAAGAAAAGCTATGGAATCAGAAACTTTGCGAAGAGAAACTGGGGACTTACACGCCCATCTTGCCATGATGCAAGTTACGCAAAACGAGTTATTGCAACAGATTAGGCAGTTGCAAGAAAACTTTGTGGAGGTAATGAGAGATCTAACAGAAACAAAGAAAAGACAGAACCTCCAACAAATTTGGATGAAAGGTATGTGGGAATTTTTGCAAAGCCAAGGATCAACTAGTAAGTACAATAAATGTATATCTTTTTTTCGTAGATAAAATTTTTTAAAAAAAAGACATAATAATTATATTTAATTAATATTTTCTAGTTCCATTTGAATTGAATTTAGAAAATTTCGAGATTAAACCAGAACCTGAACGTCCTCCAATATACATTACTTCACCAGAAAATCATAACATAAATTATCTGATCAATATGTCAACCCATAATAATATTTCATCGCGTCCATCTTCACCTTTGACAGTAAACACCAGTATAACCAGTCATGGAAGTTCATCTAGTCAAGCTAGTTCACATGGTCAAAGTCCAAATTTGAACATTCAACTTCCAGGGAGTCCTTTTCTGAATAACTCTATATTGACTGGTCAAATACCTCCCCTTTCTCCTAATTCATATAGTGCTTATACTGCGGCAGTAAATACCCCCTTACCTCCTAGCCCATCACCAGATTCACCGATGCATCCTTCTGACGACGATATGGATGGCTCGATGTACGGTGCAAGTCCTAGCCATATAGAAGATTATGGGGATGAAATGTTTACTACACCGATGTAGAGATTATACCCGCAAAGGGGTAACTCGTATAAGATCTATCAATCGGGTCATGACTGTTGCTACCCGGGTGATGCAGATTATAAAACATAATTTTCATTATAAACATCACCTGTTTTTGAAATAAGAATATTTTTTTTTTAATTAATTTTATTTAGTCCATGAGTATAAAGTTGTGAGGATAAAGAACGGGATCTCTTGCAGTATAGGTGACCCCTTGATAAAATGTATTATTAATAAATTGATTATAAAGTGGGGCTACCTATATTGCAAGAGATCCAAGAACATTTATTAATCTAAGTATTTAAAATAACTATTTTGAGTTTATGAATATTTAGTATTTAATTTCATTTTGTTCGCGTTAATTTAGCATGTAAGTATAAAGAGCATTTGTTGATTCGCCATTTATTTTATTAAACACTGATTTTATTACACCCGTTTCACCCCTCGTGTATTATATATACTCTATTTATATTTGTTATTTTTGTTGTTATTTTTTTTTGGACATTTCCCATTTTGGAATTACTTTTTTTGTTATTGCCTATTCAAATAATTACTAAAACGTTTTTGTAAACATCGTTATTATGAATAATCAACATTTTCACATAATTTCACATTATTACTACTTGTGATGTATTAAGTGTCTTTAGTATGCAGTAATTACTAAGTTTTTTTTTTTTTCCTAGAATTTCTAGATGTATTATCTATCGAATTACCCGGCTAACTTAGTGGCCCATCGAAATTCTGTGGCTACTAGAGTTGAACTAAAATTAGGTGTTTATATCAGTGAAATTTTATTACAGAATACTTTTAACTAGAGCGCAAAGGCCAGCTCAAATAAAATTTATGATTTTTCGCTTCGCTTTTAATTTTTACATTATACCTAATCTTAAATTTGATTGGATGATCTGCATATAGAAATAAAACCGGTTCCAAACTCAATACGCTAGCATTAGGCTAATACGCTAATATTAGGTTATTCAAAATTTCCCCTAAAGTGGATTTTATATGGTCCGGGCGAATGCACTTAATTTACCTAAAATAGAAGCATACCAATCCTGAAATAGGATATAGTTAACACCTGCGTAAGAAAACATGAAGTACAAATATAAGTACGCATGCTATATGTCTTAAACAAAATTCTCATTTAGAAAGCATCGTTAATTCAAGTTAAAACGACGATAGAATACGTACGTACGTAGCTGATAAATCCAAAATTTACAAGTATTTAAATATAGTCACTATAATATTATACTGTTATATGTGATGTATACAGTATCTCTACTAGTTATCGATCTTAATCGTCGTTCAATAAAAAAAAATACTCAAATGATTCTTTTTAGTGTCGTTGAAAACAAATTATTTGCGTAAAATTGGATTTACTCCTTTTGCAAAACATTTAATCCGAGCAACTTTTTCATAATCACTGTTATCATTGTATAATGCACAAAATTATAGGTTCATAATTATATTGTAACGATAAACAATAGACGATCTGATAAACATAAGATAAACTGATTACCAAATAATGCTAAGAACTATTGAAATAAGGAAAGTGCAGATATCATCTGATTGTGTTAATATGCAGGGTCAAAAATTGATATATTAAAAGAAAGGTAATAGCCCTTCTATATCTTCCTACTGTATATAAAAAACAGATAATCCAAATTTTTAACAAAGAGCAATCCTTTTTATTTTAAATTTATTAAATAAAAAGTAGTACTGTATTGTGTATTTAATGTATACAGTATATAGTGTATGTAATTTAATAAATTTTAAGAAAAAACGTATCGGTATACGTACGTACGTACGTACGTAGCTAATCAAATTAAATAATTTAAAGTTTTGCTAAGGTAGTGATTATTATTGGTGGTTATCGTAGTAATTATTATCGTATAATCGATTGGCCAAATTTATTTGTACAGTATAACCTCGATATAACGAAGCTCTGGAGCTGGAGGTTTTGCTTCGTTATATCTATATTTCGATTCATCAAG